CTTCCCCCCGCGCCCCAGCTCAACCTAGCTCTTCTGGTTTCACCCCACCCTTGGCACGACCCAGAGGCTGCACCTGGGGACGCGTCTTAGCCCAGCCTCGCTCAAGGCCCCGCCTTCTTGGGGGTAAGGAGCGCCCCTGGATGGCCAAGACTTAACTTTGTCTCCCTTCAGGCCCAGGAACAAGTCCTGTCTTCCAATCCCCTCCTCCTTCTAGCCCCTGAAATAACTTCCTGTGGCCTTAGAGCCCCCTTTCCACCCACTGGCCCACAACGCACGCAGTCATTCTTCCTCTGCGAGGACCCCCCCTCTCCCCTCCATCCAGGCCTCGGTGGATAACTGCTAATGGACAAAGGGGCATCGAACTTCACCCTCTAACCCTAAAACCGTCCTTCCACCCCTGCAGCTGTCTCCAAGCGGGCAGCTCTGGCGCCCTAGCTGCTGCCCTGCGTGCCAGCCCACTCACGCGCTCCTGTTTTGGATCCCTGCTCCCAGCTTGGAGCGGTTCTACTTGGCTTGCTTCCGCTCTCTGTGTGAAATTCCTGAAAAGGGTGCGAGGTAGAGACCTACTACTCTGTCTGCTCCTGGCTCCCCGGGCTTCTAGAGCCTCGGCCCAATTCCCAGAGATTGGGTGAACTCACCAATTCTTCTCCTCCAGTTCTTCCAAATTCAAGCTGAGCTGCAAACCAAAGTCGTCTGACAGCGCATCCTGTGACCTTGGGCTGTCTCTGACCCCACACGCCCGAGACCCCCCCCAAGGGAGCGACATTTCCGTGGGGATCGGGTACTTGTGCACCCCCCTTTCCCACTCTCCTACTTTTCTTCATCTTGTCTCTCTGCTGGCTCTTTCATCTCTCCACTTATTTCCTTCTTCCTCGTCTCGACTTTAATCTTATAAATGCTTCCTCCCTATAATTTGTGAGCCATTTCCCATCTCTCAGGCTAGCTTGCCCATCTGCACCTTTTGTGCTGTCTCTGTGCATTAACTTCTCTCTTCTTAGCTCTTTCCTCTTCTGTCTTTCCCCGTTTCTATCTTTAACCCTTCACCTGAATTACTTTTTCCCTCTCTCACCACATATTTATTAATTTTTTAAAATGACTTTTGATAAAGGCAGAGGACTGAGAAAAAAAAAAAAAAACTTGTTTTGTGACCTTGGGCTTAATAATACTGTTTAAGTGTCCTCCAACTGCCAGACATGTACATATGTTAGCTTTTATGCATTTCCATAATCCAGTGAGATGAGTATGATTGATTCCCACTTTTCATATGAGGATACTGAGATCAGAAGGTCAGGAAGGTGAAGGGACTTCACAAGGTCACACAGCCAATTAACTGAAGAACTGAGATTCGAACTCTAGGCTTCAAAGCCTTGGGTGTTCCCCCCTTAAACCACACCGTCTTCCGTGACCTTGGAAAAGCCCACCCATCGAAGACGCTGTAAAAGACAAATCCTCACAAGCACAGGTGGATCTGCTTCCGTCGTGAGTTTTGTGAGGTATGCTTCTCCTGTCTCAGTTTATTAATCTGTGAACCCAAGGGGCGGGGGGGGTGGAATCTGACCTCTCAAGTCCTCTGTTTTGAAACCGTCTCCTGACTCTCTGATGCTTGCTCCAGTTCACTTACTCCTCCAAAATATGTCACCCTGCCTCCCTCAATCTCTCCTTTGTACCCTTACAAACCACCACTATCCTCCACCATGGGGCTTTCTGATTCTCTATGCCCCTTTCTTCAAATATGCTGACATAGTCCATTTATAGAAGTGCACACCAGGAAAAAAGGGATCCCTTATGTAAGGCAGAGTCTGTGCAAGTCCTTCATGGACCACTGGTACAAAGGCCTGTCAAATGAGACCAACACTTTCATTCATTCATTCACCACCAAATAGCCAGGGTGCCTACTGGGCACTATATGAGGATGCAGAGATGGATAAACACAACTCTTGCCCTCAAAGAGCTTATAATGATTGTGGGAAGGGGGTTGCAGAAATGAAACTAATACATCAATATCTCATGTACCAGGCTGGCAGGTAGGCAGTCATGTGTTTTCTAAATGAGGTGCTTGGAGAAATCAAAGAAAACTTCCCAGAGGCAGTGACATTGGAGTTGAGCCATAAACAATTAGTAGCACAGGGGTGGGCATCCCAGGTTAGAGCTGGCATTTGGCATTCTTTGCACTTGCTGAGCATGTGAATGAATCCCTTTCCTACATCAGAGGGTGCATCATTTTCTGGGGCACAGCTCACCTCCCATGAAGAAGCTAAAATTTCTAGATACTTTCTCAGCCTCCACAGCAACTAGGGCTTGAGCACATGACCCAGACTTCACCAATCTGATTTACCCATCCCAGATGGCTAGGAAGGAAACTGGAATCAGGCAGAATCCATTGGGGGGTCAAAAGGCTAACAGTTGGGGCAGTTACATCCAGGTTTCATTGCTAGTGGAAACAGTTCTAACAGCACTGCTTGGAGCCCAGTGTCATTGGTGTCAATAGTGTGAAGTGCCCTATTGATGCTTGGCTGCAGCTGTAACAATATCTCTGCCAGTCCAGTTCTGTGCTGTGATTTGGAGTGGTGCTCTTGTCTTAGTGGACTTTAAACTCGGAACCCAAGCCCTTCTGGGGATTGTAAGTAATCTAATATCGCTTTAACTGAGTTCTGAATTATGTTTCTGCTTAAATTATTCAGAATTGGTTTCTGTTGCTTGCCACTAAGACATCCGCATGAGAACACAGAATGTGGAAACAAATGGAGGGCAGAGAGGACAAAATGTATGGTGGGGAATGGAGGAAGTTCAGTGGGGGGAGAGGGAATGATTGAGGCCAAGATAGAAAAGGCAAGCAAGGAGCACTGACTTTATTCCATAGGTTGTGTCAAATCTGGCATCTGAGCACAGAAAAATAACTCATGTTTCTGAACACTTGCTCTGTGGCTTCAGAACTTTATGTCACATGGTCTACCAATGAATGATAACAAAAACTGCCACCTTATGGTTATTGTGAGGCTTCAGAAATAGTTATGCAGCATGCTCAACACATAGTAGGCACTCAATAAATTAGACCTACTGCTTTGACATATAATCCTAGTAGCATCGGGAATAAGGCTTCCTATCCTCATTTAACAGGTGTGACATCTGACGCTCAGGGAAGCTAAGAAACTTGACTGTGATCATGCAGTTATCAGGGAGCAGAACACAAGAACGCCTAGCTCCCAAGTCCTAGCTCTGTCTGCCACAGCATGCCCCCTCCTGGTACCAGCCCTTCTCTACTTCATTCTCAGTATGCTATAACTTCCTTCCTCATACTCTAATCCTTTGTCATTGTGACCTAGGGTTACCACCCATCTCCCCTTCAGCCTTTCTCTTTCCTTCTCCTTTCCCCCCTTCATTCAGTTACATTTTATTATTGATTTAATCTATTTTCCTCTAGGGTTCCTGGAACCCCCGTGTTTGATTCCACTAATCTGAAATTCTCTTTCATTTTAACTCCTTCTCAGTCCTCCTAGCAAATGCTTTCCTCTTGTTTCATCTTTCATATTTTATATTTGCCTTTCTAGGTAATTGCGGAACTTTTTGCCTTTTCTCCCACTTCCTTCCCCAGAGGAAGTTTTGCAAAATCCCTTGAATTCTTACCACATGGCAGTTTAGTGTAGCTGGAAAAGTAGGGGCTCAGGAGGCCAACAGACTTTGGTTTAGATATCATCTTTGCTATTGCTCCACTGGGTCCAGTCACTTACTAATCCCTACCAGACCTTTTTGTTTTCTCTTTTTTTGAAATGGGAAAAGTAATACCCACTTCTCTGGCTCATTATGGGAATTAAACTAGACCATACATATGAAACTGCCTAGCACATATGAGGCTGCCATTAATGTTATATGTCAATCCAGTCATCTCATGGTCTCTCATCCACTGTTTTCAAATCAACATCACATCACACAATCCCCGCCACCACTCGGTTCCAGCCACGTTGATCTCTTTTCTGTTCCTGGAATATTTCAAGATCTTGCTGCCCCAGCATCCTCACTGATCTCCACGTTCTTCCTTCTGCATTGAGAGATCTCCCTCCAGTTTTCACTAGCTATCTTTCCCTACTCTATTAAGTCTAGCTAATAAGGCACTTTCTCAAAGATGACCACCCACCCAGCCTAAGATAGCCCCTTTCTGTCTTTCCTGTTATATCCTTTCATATCCCCTGATCGTTGTTTAAATTGCGCTCATTACCTATTTTAGCAATTGTCCATGTATTCCTGTATTTTCTTGATGTATTTTCCCCGCTACAATGGGAGTTCCCGAATATCAAAGACCAAGTGTGTCTTGGCTACCATTGTGTGCACACAAGCTAATACAGTAACCTGCATATGGTAGAGACACAAAATAAGTATTTTGACAATGAGTCATCACAAATTTATTGAATTTTTCATGCCAAGACAGGCATGGTTCTAGGCACTAACCATACTTCTGCAGAGAAATAAAAAGACTATGCTTTGAATTTTACAATGAAAACCTCCTTCCCTTCCCTCGACAATCCCTCTCTCCCACCTCTCTTCTTTCCTACCTTCTTTCTTTCCTTCCATCCTCCATTCCCAGCTTTCCACAATTCAAGTAATTTTTTTTTTTTTTTGAGTTGGAGTCTCACTTTGTTGCCCAGGCTGGAGTGCAGTGGCATGCTCACAGCCACTGCAACCTCGACCTGCTGGACTCAGGCAATCCTTCTGCCTCAGCCTTCCAAGTAGCTTGAACCACAGGTGCGTGCTACCACACCCAGCTAATTTTTGATTTATTGTAGAGACAAGGTCTCGCCAAGTTACCCGTGCTTGTCTTGAACCCGTGGGCTCTGGC